CAAAATAACGCGAACTCGTGCGTACATAATATTTATATAAATCAACGGAAAAAAGTACCTAGGCTAAGTATAATCTTTAGACATTGATTTATTTCATTTTTGTTACTCCAGTTTAAATTATTATAAAAATACATATAAATGCTAATATAAGTATCTAGTTTATGTTTCAAAAAGCCCTACCGTCAGTACTTCTACATAAAAATATTACTAATATCGATAAATCGAAATTTATATAAATATTCGGTTAATTCAATGAATTTTGTTGCAATATCGTTCTCCTGAACAATTACAAAAATATCACTTATCACACTTGTGCGCTACGCCATCGATGTATAATAATAGTATTACACGCTCGCTCCGCATAGTAATTAAAAATTCATCTCTAAAAAATCAGAAAATACTGTTGCTTTTTCTGAAATTGCTTTGAATTTATCGGTGCGCATTTCAAAACATCTATGGAATATTACTACAGATTTTATATTTATTTTCCAACGATTGACCATTGACACTGTATCAAAAAATTACAAATCACACTTATGTATTACGCATAGTACTTTACTTTATATATAAATGCATCTACCCAACATTACCTAATAATTTTTTTGTGCATAATTGAAAATAATCTATTGACAAATTATTTCAACTGTGTTTCGCCAGTTTTTCGAAATAATATAAACAAAATATTTTCACAGGGCGACATTTGGGTGGATAGCATAGTTATCTGATTTCAAAAATGTACTGGTTTGTGTTTCCTTGCATCGGTCGACTGTCATTTGAACATGATATTTAACACACAAGCACATGTAAAACTACAGTGTTATATCTGGACGAAACGATTTATTTTTATTGTTGATGTGAAACATCCAATGCAGAGGGTCAGGACGGCTGTTGCCATGGCGATCCCCCACTCCATCGTCGCGCTATCGATTTGCGTGCCACAGGGTGTGTTTTCGGTACAGGACGGCAAATAAAAGTAGTAGGTACCTTAGTTCCACGGGACAAAACCCATTCGACCAACGTATTATTAGGAAATTCATTATAAACAAAAATTAGATGGTCAACAGCACTGGCTATCGTTTCGGAAAGAGTTACCTTATTTAGCACGTTAAACGCCGCTCGTGATTTCGGAGGTTATACCGCGACGTTGCGTTGAAAATTATTTATAAAATTATATTATATTTTAAGTTCTTGACTTAGAAAAAACAAACAGTAAAAGTACACTGATAACACATACAAATATTACGTCCCTACCTACTTAAAAACTGAATCAATAACCGTGTCAAAAATAAGCTTATGATTTAAAATAATAGGTGTGTAATCTAGGTATTAAGGTGTGCTTTTTATATGTGATCGTTTTTTATCTATGCCATATTTATTGCCTTCAACAAGTAATCCGTTTGTGCACATTTTCCATTGGAAATAGTCTCGATGTTTAACATCTGCCGGGCGTCCCGCGACGGCTATGTTTTTTTCTTTTTTACCCTTCTCGTTCCCGTCAATGGTACCAACCGCGAAACGTTGTACCGTTGTCAGCGGGAAAACGGCCCGACCACTTTTTCCACCACCGCCGCTACGCGGGCGTGGTTCTTGTGAAGCAATAAATTATTGATCACACCTTATAAACTACGTCGAAAATTAATACGGAACCGAAATTGGGCAGGTTATTACAACACTATAAATTAAATAGATAACGTTGAAAATTAATATAGATATATTATAATATATTAATATATTAATTAATATAGAACCGCGATTGCGCAGGTTTTTACGACACTATAAACGAAACTAAGTTATATTACGGTTTACCTATATTGAACCAATAAATAGAATGATTAGATAAGTCTGACGCAATTCCTTTTTATTTTTTTTTTTTCAATTATTCTTGACAACTAGAACCATAAAACGTATGCAATAAAAATCGTTTAATATTGAGCGCTTTTTATTGTTTAATATCCTTTAAAAGCGGAACATTTATGGGAAACTTGGGTTTTTCCATTAAATATGACACTATTGCACGTAAATAGAGGTGAAGGGGGAAAACTTTTAACATAACAAATGTGAATTCTGGAAAAAATGTTTTTTTTTTTTAACTATTTTCAGTGAATACAATTAAGAAACGTTCGTAATCCGATCGCAAATTTTAAATTTGTCCTCAAAACGTTCCGATGGAAAAAGATAAAAAACAATAAAATTCGGCATTTTGTAAAAACGGCCCTTTTGGCCGGTTCAATAATGGAATCATCCTGTAGCCGGTCGTCTGGGCGTTCTAGCTGTTACCCGGTCGCATATTAGCATTTTAGGGTCGGTCTCGGCACCGGTTATCATTTTAGCTTTCTGATTGGTCGTTTGGTTTTGCCGCGCTTTTTAAAAACTGTTACCTATAACCTTGTTATCTAGTATTATGTGTTATTTAATATTATCGAATTCATATGCCTATTTATTATTTATGATACTATTATAAAGTATGAATATAAATAATCTTTAAAAGTGTTTTTACTTTTGAATTTTTATAGGCCCAGCGCAACGGCGACCCGAACACGGTACCGTCATGTTTTTGCCGCGCAAATTTGTTATTGCCCTGAGGCACAAATTGTCTAAATGCGACATTGTGTGTGGTGTATCGGAATAGAGAACTACACTAATAAAATAATATATTAACACTGCATTATCAGCGCAGATACAACATTGTTTTTCGTGGTTCATTATTTCAGTGTTACAGTAATCGTTCACCGTTTGCTTTACGTAGATGTTCATCTTAAATAAAAAAAAATAATAAAATTGAGTTACTCATAAATAAATATTATGTTTCTTAAAACCAAAATAACATTTTATTTTGTTAATAACTATTAAATAAAAAATAAAAATTTGTTTGTAATCAAAACGATGAAGATATTGCATTTTGTCCCGTTTTGAAAAGAAAAATATTTGGTCTCCTTACACATAACACATTTCAAGTATGCATACCATGTGTAAAGTTCGTTATATCGTAGAATTTTTTACCAACGGTTCAGTACTGTCGACTTGGACGCGCCGTGCGTTGGATTTGACACTTGTCCCTCGTAGTTATATTTATATTGTGTACCTTTGTTACGTTTTTAAATTCTACACGTAGTAAACCGACGTGAGGTAGTATTTTTAAGGAGCTGTATAGTACACGGATTCGCTTTTTACAAATTTTTAATTGTCAGCTGTTCGGTTGTGGAAAGGAGTTACCAAAGGCAATCAATTTAATATACAATAAAACTATCAAATTTACGTGAGCAAACATTTATTAAAGCACACATTTTTTTTACAAACACTCATTGAAATTTAGGTACATCAAATGGTACGGTATCAATGTATTTTACACGTACAATGACATAATAATAAATCGTACAGTATATATCAGTGTTCCGAAGACGTTGGCATCACATATAATAAATTACTTAAGAATAAACTAACATTTTTATAAAATATGTCATCGATCAAATAATGATCAAACATGTCGCCGTTATAATATGTAGATAGTAGTTACTTAAAACTTAATGTTAATAGGTATTTGACTTGTATTATTTTATTAAATTTAATTTATCATAAACATACTGAACAATATATTAGCACATATGTATAATATACATTTTTTTACTCATTTGTACATGTCATGTATAAATGAGTAACAAAAAATTTAACACATAAATATCGTCCTTGATTTCCAATTAAAACACTTAAATTTAACATTTTAATAATATAATTTCTTAAAACTATGACTTAATTATAGTTAAAATGGTTGGAAACTGATGATTTATTTACACGTTTAATTATAATGATTGAAGATCTCGAATAATTTTGTTCTACGGATTGGGTCAAATATAGTAATTCAACCGAAATTTAGCCATGTGCAATCAATAATTTTGGAGTTATTAATTTGGATTTAAACGAACCGGCAGTAATTTATTCCACAAACAAAAACATAATTTTTCATACCATTTTCTTGAAGATGTATCAGTGGTGAATCTATTGTGAGAGTGAAGGAGGTAGGCTTTGGATATCCAATTATAACACAATATCGTATTAGATTTTCTAAAAAAGCCAGGGAGTGATAGTCATTCACTTTTTTTTAATACATTTTATAATTTACATAGTACTCAAGTAAGTAATTGAACGTTTTGATATTATACTTATTATTATTGTTTTAAACGTCATGCTGTTTAATTTTATAATTAAATTTTATTAGGGGAACTTCCAGAATATTGACCCCATTGTGCTTATAGCTTGTGAGTTCATTGGCAGAAATATTATAATGGAAACTTAAATTATTTTAGTCTAATTTACAAGATACTATATCTATAAGTAAATAAAATTAAACTTACTAACATAGAAACTATTTATAATAAAATTGACAGGGCAATAAGAACCTGTTTTACTACTTATTATGTATCGTTATACAGTAAAAAAATTGTATGTACTCAATTGAATTAAATTAATTCGACTCTGGGGACGGGCAAGTGTCGGATGCAGAATAGGTACCGATTTCGTTGTATGCTGTTTCTATTGCACTTATTTTAGGAGTACATTGTCATGCCGTTAACTGAAAAAGATTACTTACAATGTTAACTTTATGTTATACCATTGATTATATAGTATTTATAATCAATGGTTAAATTTATTATAATAGGGATGCGTAATTCAATCAGTTCAACCCAATAAGCGCCATTGATAATTTACTATTAAATTTGATAACTTAATTTATCGCACTTAATTTTATGTAGAAACTGTTGCTTTACTTATCATTAACATAACCATACCAAAGTTAACTAACACTATATAATTATTAATATTATTATTTTTTCTTCTGAGAGATAATACGGGTGTCACCTTTTAAAAATTTAATGAAATTTAAAAATGTAATGCAAACCAATATTATAATACTATTTATAATTATATAAATTATAATTCATAATTTATTAATATAAATAATAATAATTATATGTATAATTTATCTTATATATGTTGTGCAGAATTATGAAAGAGATTGGTTTACAATTTAAGAGAAGGAGGTTAATATTTTATTTTTTGTTTACTAATTATTATTATACAATCATTATATACCTATGGAAACAAAAGTGTTTACACTCAAATTTTTTATTTTAGTTCTAGGGGGCTGTACAACCGTATTTCGTCCTTCTTGATGTTTACCAATGTAGTGTATTATTATTCTACATATTTAATATTTGATTTATTTGACCGCTTAAATACTAAAAATGTTACTCTAGTTTGGTGCACATGCCAAAGTATTTCGTTTTCAAAATACATTTAGATTATTAAATTTCTTTTGATGACATTAATAACCATAGAATTATAATATTATTAAAACTTAGTTAGTACGTTGTACAGCAGGATATTCTACCCTCAGCGTGACGTGAATATTACGTTTGTGACGTATGAGTTCTTTTTCGTAAAATCTTCTCACCATCAATATAGAGGAAAAATAAATTACTAAAAGAGATAAAAATATTAATATTAAAAATAGTTTAATTACAGGCGTCAATAATATTTTGAAACAAAAGCATGCGACACGTACTAATAGTAAAAGCGCCCATAGCCAGATATTGAGGAGATCTCTTAATCAATCCATTAGTGATTATGTACAATGTGATATATGCTAAATGCGACGAATGAAACAACATCCAATTAAATATGCTTTGAAGATTTTCCTAGAAAAAACAATTGCTAATTATTATTAATATTTATAACTACTGTGGTCAATCAAAGGTACAAATCGCAAAATAAAATCTACAGAATGTCGCAAAATTTCCTCATTATTAGAACTCGGATTATCGTAGGTGAACTAAAACTGTTTTAAGGAAGAAGTTTTCTCCTTTTTACAGACATTCTACATTTATATCTCACTAACTTATAGTAATAAACCATACATTTTAATTTAAGAAAACTGAATATCTTCAACACAGTATTTTGTTTTTATTTATGTCGGACCCACTACGGTAACCAAAACAATTGGTTTACCAAATGAATCGAAAAAAAAATAGTTATCAAGTAACGAAAAGAATTATTGAACACTAATAGCGTTACGCTATACTTAATAAAAAGGATTGTAATTATAAACCGTAGTCATGATAGTTATTTTCTTGAATAAAAAAATTAAGTTAAGAAGTGATGGAAGAATAGGATCGATATTACAGGGTACTCTGGCCAACAAGGATTTTAACCAAAAAAGATATTAATGTTGTTTATCCGAAATTCTATTGGTCCATTGAAAATACGATATATACTCGTATATACAGTAATTAATCATCGTGAGGTAAAATCCTCGTCGAAGGTAATAGAAAAGCGATTGCTCTTGCAACCATATTATACTACCGAGTAATTTTATCAACACTGTATAGGGATATAATAAAAACCTATACACAATACACCTGTAAGATAGTATTAATACTACGTATACAAATATAATAAAAATGAAATAGAAATTAGTAAATGGTTAATACTCGTAAATTAATATATAAACAAATAATTTATATAAAGAAATAAATAAATGTTTAACCTGAAGTATTATCATGTTTGTAAGGTTCGACTGGTTTCGAATTAAAATTCATTAACAGGTATTTATACAATATATAGAATTACGATTTTATTGACTTTGTATACAACCGATGATGAAATTTTAATTCGAAATTAGTAATTCTGTATAAATATAATAATAGTCTAAGCATTTATTTATTTATAGAAACAATTTATTTTTATATTAAAACTATAAGTTTACATATACTTGCCTCTTCTGTCGCTAGTAGGAGTTTATAGTTGAAATAAATGAACAAATTCATCAGGATCAATTCGCACACTATTGATTGTAAGACGTCTATTGGATTTAAACTCAAGCATGTAAATTCGTAATTGAGCATATCTAGGGTTATAGCTAAATACATACATATATATATATATATATAGAGAGAGAGAGAGGAATAAATGCATAACCGTACGAAACAGAGTAATAATTAAAGTAAATTCTCGTCTTATCGAATCTCACCATAAACGGAAAGAAAATTCCCGAGCAATTGACTAATTCGAGATATTGGGCTTTATAAAAAACTAATTTAAGATGAAAAAAGTTTAGGAGGTACTAAAATGTAATTTGAGATATCAACGGTGTTCGATATAACAAAAATTTACTATGGGTGTAGACAATAATAATATTACACAATAATTAATAAAGATTAAATGTAATACAATATATACATGTAATATTAATATAAATGTGAAATGTAGTTATATTTTAATTTTTGTTGTACACAAAAGAAAAATAAAAAAATGGTTTTGTTTTACACTTACCAACGCGACTTATTAAGTGGTTCTTATATAGATAATATAAACCGACAAATGAACAGTAAGAAGAAATTATGATGTATAATCCATGGAAACACTAAAAAACAAACATGTAATCGCATATAATTCAAAAAAGTTATATGTATTCTTAAGTTAAGATGGTTTTCGATTTTTTTCTTATGTATAAAAGATGAAAATGTGTTAATTCTTAAACTGCTGTTGGGGTGCAATATACCGACCTCATATGTGTAATTTTTTAATTTCTAATCGGAACATTCATACAATTGTTTCACAAATTTGTGATTAAGTATAATATTATATTTACTAAGGATACAAAAAAAAAAAAAAATGTGGGTAAGCCAAGTGTACAAAACTTGTGATGGTTCTAATTTTTAATATTATATTATATAAGTATTACTTATATGATATTTATTTTAATTTTAAAAGAATATTTGCTTCGAGGCGATTTAGCTTCGAAGGTAAGTGCAAAATAACAGTAATTTAACCCGTCCAAGGATTGAAAACATAAAATAATAATTCTACCAGGGATTATGTATGGAGTCAAGCGATTATATAGAGTAGCGGTGAACCGCGGGGAGGAGAAGATGATCTCGCAGTTGGAACATAGATCTTTAAGGTTACAAAAGTGTGTCACGTGCCGTTTACGGTTCACGCGTAATTGCCTTAAACATCTTAAATCGTAAACGGTAGTAGTATACATAGGTAAAAAAATACACAAAACCAAAAAAACCATCGGCCGTGTTCTAGTCTACGTTCAAGTGTATGTTATACTCACTAAATTGAATTGAGCCACGAACCTAGCACCCATGCGCGAGCTATTTATCATATAACAGCATGCGTTGGTGAGGAGTGTTATACATTTTTCGAAAAATCGTTCGATCATATTTGGTGGTTGGTGAAGTTGGACGTCCATGATGATGGTCACCGTTGAATGTGCGGCCGATGAGTGAGTGGTGTAAAGTTGCTGCGATACGTTTTGCCCTCAACAGTAGGTGTGTGCCCAACAGGTTGAGCTCTATCGATCGGATCCACGAGTTAAAGACCCAGACGACGTGATTGCGCGAAACGTGTGCAGGTTAGCGACCACAAATAACTTGTCGTGTGCGAGAAATGGACGGTTGGCACGTACAGAGGACGGAAATCCTGCGCAAGCATTGATCGGTGGGGTTGAGGGTTGAGCGCTACGGATGTTTACGCCTCTCGTCCTCGTTCTGCTGCACAAAACGTCCCTGTGTTTTTATCCCAGGGGCCGGTTGTTGATTTTAACCCTTATCCTTGTTTAGTTAGGGACTCTCTCTCTTTATCTTTCTCTTATTCTATCTCGGAATTAACAGTCTGCACTGTAAACAGTTTTTGGCTATTTTTGAAGTTTCTGTTAGTTCCAGCTGAAATATTATCATACCTATACAAATCTAAACTAATAATCGATAAAATAACAAATTTTTTAATTGCTTATGTATTATAATCTTACGAGTAATTTCTTTTTTTAAGAACAAATTTCTCTCGTCATTAATATTAAACTATAGATATTTCGAATATCAATTTACGTTGAGATAACTGAAAATTATTTATTATTATTCATTGACTAATATTCATCATTTATACCATGAGCAAATAAATCTTAACATTAGTAAAAATATTCATGTCCACAAGGTGATAGCCAGAGAGTGGGTTTTAGGGTTCAGACCTCTCTTCCGAATATTTTCTTAAAATAATATTTTATGACTTTAAATGTCTATTACATTTGATATTTTAAAATTTGCTAACCAAAAAAATATTTATTCAATACCCCCTACAAAAAAAAAAAAGTTCTTGGCTATGCATGGCCTTGCGTGTACAGATGTATTATTCGTGTTGCAAGTATTTTTTCAATATCGTAGCATTATACAATATAAAGTCGGAACACTCAGTTAACAAATATTTTATAATAGGTAACGGTCACACGTTGGTGTTATAACTGTATAACCTATAACAAGTAATTTATGAGCTTTAATTGTGATGAATGTTTAGCATATTATCGATATTTTTGCTGACTTGTAGTCTTACTGCGCTATACGCAGAACTCAGGGGATTGATGTATTTTTAAATCTATATTATTCATAATTTTTATTCCATTTAAATCCCATAAATAAAAAAGAAAAACTACTCAAGTTAAATTGTTACAAAAACGTTTAAATTTGACACGGATATTGTAGTAATCGAAAAATAATAACCTGATTGCTGTATTGAACTAAAAAATATCAAAAATTGCACTGAAAAATGTAAAATTGTACAAAAAAATAACGTTTTGTAATAATTTATAAGTCTTAAATTCTTTTACAAAATGTTTAAACTTTAAAAATATGTAACTTCAAACTATGTTTTAAAAGGTTTTTTTTAATTTCAAACTCAAATGTTCTTTTTTTTAAAAAAAATTCGTGGAAAAAATCATATTAATTTTCGGCATATTTATAAAAAAATAAAAGAACATAATTAGACGAAATTCACGGATTAACTGAGTAACAGATCATCAAATAATAAAATAATAATGTTCCGTAAATTATCTAAAACGTATTAAAAATAATTCAATCTATATAGATAAAAACGAACATGAACGATACGATTTTAAAAATAATCAAACTATCATGGCAACAGTAATATCAATACACAATAAACAATTTAAACAATACCTATCAATAAATCATATACTTCTGACTTAAAAATGTACATAATTTTACGGAAATTCTATGTAAATTAGTTAAATTTATTTTATAAATGAATAAAGTCAATTCAATAAAAAATTAAAAAATTGCGAAAAATTGCACTTAAAATTATTAGATTTTATTTCGTTCTGAAATGTGACACATTTAAAAATTCATTAGCAATAAATGGAAACAGTAGATGAAAAATTGTAGAGTTTACTTACACATATATCAAAGTTGGTACTTCATTGAAGTATTAACACGTCTTTTCTATAACGCCAATAACATGTTGTATTTCAGAAAATTGTGAAATTTAATATGCGAGTATTTATGTACAAACTACAAATAATTCCATATATAACAATTTAATAATATAAAATGGGATACGGAAATTCTTTTGATGTCAGCCCAGGCTACCTTCCTTGCACACCATCACCACCACCGCTTTTGTATATTCCGGGGGCGTGTCAATTCTGGGAAAATTCGCAGGGTGTTCGACAAGAGTATTGACGTTTTATCCCCGGCAGAAATTCTACCTCTTTCACCCACAAGCCTTGTGTAAATATAGCCATATACAACGTTTGCCCGGGATTTCGATGACCTGAATATTGCAGGGAATATTCACTGAATAAAAACTAAAAATTATTATAAAACTTCGAATGTTTTACTACAATTTAAATCGAATTAAAAATATATATTCTAATTTGAGTAGAGTAGTAAGAAAAAATTGCGATAATAACATAACACGCATAACTATCTATGGTAGTCAATAATTTACGTAATACATTTTGTTATATTATTGGTTGCCACAATAAATTTAATTTAAAATTTGGTTCTGGCCGTCGAATTAGAAAAGTCCCGAAAAATATGTTGAACTCAATAAATTAATGAAATATTACTATATGATAGTATATCCACTAGTTCATCGATCATTTTTATTTTAGAATATTTACGTAGTAAAATAAATACAAGACCAATAATAGTAATAACGATAAAACTATCATATATCATCAAAATCATAATGTTTAAAGAATTATAGTTAATTTCATATTGATTTTACTAATTACTTCAGTTGTATTTTAAATTAAGTTTTCAATTTTCCGCTCTAACGGATCCAACATTTACCATGGTGGACGGCCTTTATAGTAAGGCAACCCACTGCGTTTTAATTATAATATAATATTACAAGACGTATCGTTATCATTGTCGATGTTATGAACTTCCATATATACCTGGTATATTAAACCGTTTAAAAATATTAAATGGGATACGGCAATCGTGTCTATGCTGTCAGTTCAAGCCCATCTTCTCATGTACACCACCTCCAACATGGGCGTCTGTCAATTCTGAGAAAACTTGCCGGGTGTTCGACGAGAGTATTGACGTTATATCCCCGGCAGAAATGCCACCTCTCTCACCCACAAGGCTTGTGCAAATATAGCTATATAGACCGTTTGCCCGGGATTTCGATGACCTGAATACTACAG